TGGGTCTCTTCGCAGTCTCTGGAACTTATCGATGCTAGCCGGAACATTCCGGCTGGAAGCGAACACAATGAAACTCGCAAAGAGCTCCGGGTAAGACTTCGTGTTAGCCTGAAGAGAGACCGCGAATCCTGGTGGTCCCATCGTGCGTCAGAGTTGGAAATGGCCGCTGCCCTTGGTAACCATCGTAACATATTCCGGCTGATAAGGGAAATAGACAGCAGAAGACCTGGTGTTAGTGAAACTCTACGTGACGAGAGTGGGCAGCCTATCCACAACTTGTCAAAACGCTTAGAGCGTTGGGCTGAGCATTTTGAAAAATAATTTAATCGGCCGGAAATGTTCGATTCCTCACCGGTCAGTGATCGCCCTGCTCCCTGGGCTGTCCCTTTGGATCCACCCTCTCGCTCAGATGTCAAACGTGAGATCGCAGTGTTGAAGTTAAATAAAGCCGCGGGACCTGATGATCTACCACCAGCCCTCTCCAAATTAGGGGGACCTGTTCTTGTGGATGATTTATACGAGTCACTAGTGAAGTCGTGGGAGCAGGAAACTGTTCCAACCGACAAGAGCCGCTCCGTCATAATCCAAATTTCCAAGTAAGGCTCATGATCAGAATGCGGCAACCATAGAGGAATTAATATCATCCCCATCGCCTCCAAACTACTTGCCTCCGTAATCCTTCACAGAGTTACTGGCACGCGTGAAAGCCAGATTCGTGAAGAGCAAGCCGGGTTTCTTCGGGGTCGTCCCTGCATTGACCACATCTTCACTTTACGTCAGTTGTTGGAACACCGTCACACATATTGGCGGCCCACCCTTGTCGTGTTCCTTGATATCAAAGGGGTATTCGATTCGGTGGATAGACTTGCACTTTGGGACAGTCTACTCAGAAATGGTGTACCTGGGAAATATGGAAATATTATCTGAGCACTATATGTGCATAGCTCAGGCTTACGGCAAGCTGTCGTCGCACTTTAATATCTCAAGCGGCGTGAGACAAGGATGCCCGCTCTCACCTTTCCTCTTCAACTTAGCTATTGACGAAGTCATGGAAATCGCGTTCACAGGACACGACTTAGAAGGAGTGGATCTGCTCCCAGGAGAACGACTTCTTGACTTGGAGTATGCTGACGATATTGCCCTTATCTGTGACAGCTCCCAGACGTGCCAAGCGGCACTGGACAGATTAGCACTGGCTGTCAGCCGCTTCGGGCATTGCTTTGCACCATCGAAATGCAAAGCGTTCTCCCAAGATTGGTCTGGACCGCCTCCTACGCTGACCATTGGTGGCGATCAACTAGAAGTCGTTCAAAATTTCAACTACCTGGGAAGTTGTATCAGCGCCCGTGGGATTGGAGATGAGATCACGAACCGTATAGCAAAAGCTCGGGCCGTTTTTGCTAACCTTCGCCACTTATGGCGCCGGCGTGACGTCACCCTCGCGCGGAACGGTAGAGTGTACAATGCAGCGGTATGCTCGACCCTAATGTACGGTTGTGAAACCTGGCCCTTAGATCACCGGATATAAAGAGACTAGTTACGTTGGACCATCGGTGTCTTCGCAAGTTAGCTCACATATGGTGGGAACACCGCGTGAGCAACGAGCGTGTTGGACGCCTTGTTTACAGCACAGGAAAAGGTAATGAACCGCTCAGCACCGTTATTTCACGCACCAGGCTCCGATGGCTGGGTCACGTGTTACGCATGCCAGCCCACCAACTCCCTCGACGTGCGTTGTTTGCGCGCCGGGGGTGTGGATGGAAGAACAGGAGAGGTGGCCAAGCGATGAGTTAGTCGAGAGGAATGAAGGCCTTCACTTCGAAGCTGGGCTCAGTTGGAGCGTCTCGGCTCCCTGGTTGGGGTCCGAAAGACGATGAACACGTTTGGCTGGATACACTTGTTGATACGGCTAGGAACCGACCTCAGTGGCGTTCGTGCTGTGAGTTTCTTTGTCCAACCCGCTCCAACCATGATCTCATTATTTCGCATTTTATAATTTTGCATAAGGAAGTTTTTCTCCTGCTGCATAGTAGCCGGCAGATAGGTTACCGGAACGATGCCCAACCGTTACCGGTAGCTCAGCTGGCTTTCACCTGTTGCATTTTATTCCCCTTTTTTGTATCGCGGCACAGTAGCTGGGGTGTTCCCCACCTCTAGCTAACGTGTATATGTGTAATAGCGACCAAGGGACCTAGTGCACACGGTACTCAAGAACCCTGTAATCGTTGAAGTGCCATTCAAAGGTGACGTCTCCTCGTTGAGGACCACAAGACGTCTGATCTGTGCGATGCAGACAACTTACTATGCCGCCAAGGTCGTTGTCATTAACAAAAGCCAAAAACCGCCACTTTCTTCTGTAAAGGGAGCTCAGCCCATCGGCGCCAAATCGCATTGCGTGTACCAATTCATTTGTGACTGCGGCGCCAGTTACATAGACAGGACCGATAGAACATTGAGGTCTAGAATGAAGGAGCATGTACCTAAGTGAGTTCAACGTTCGACCGCGCAGGAAACTGACCAGAGTCAAGCTACATGTCTGCGGAAGCCACCAGCCTCTTCGATCGCCCGACACTTATTGACCACAGGTCACCGAGTCGAGGTCATTTCGGCATTCACAATCCTATTATAGCACACCAATTCTCGCCACCTCCGTTTCGCAGAGGCGATTGCAACTAACCGGATTAAGCCGCTACATTGTGTTCAGAAACAATTATCGGTCAGCATTAGACTGCCCTAGAGATAGAGGCGATAACCCTGTCTCGCTTATCGTGTGTTCGTCTGTTTGTTTGCATGTATGTTTTGTCGCGCTCTTCACTGAATAAATATTACTGCGAGTTAGTATTAAAGGCACTGATGAGACAATACGAAATGCGCGCATTTGCCAGTCTGCTTTTCAAATTACTAAAGGGAACTAACTGTTTCAAATACGAAGTTTGTCAAAAGTCGTAAGTTTCTATACTAGTGGGCCCCAGAAAGTCAGCAAAAAGAGAAACAAAACTGTTTCTCCACCCTTTTGATGTCATCACTACCTGCTCTCACTTGGGCGTGGTGACTGTAAGTTATAAGCGCTTCTGATTCGCTACTCAAAATAGCACTAACGAGATGTCACATGATCCAGCTGGTGGGGAATGTGAGTTCATTTGGTGCGATTTTTCATAGCCGTGGAAACGTGAAGGGTCCCAACAAAAACGATCCGCATACGTTGCTGACTATAAATTTTGAAGTTTTCCCATGTCGCTGGGTATGATGGTGTTTGCTTCTGTACATCCTGGTATATTTCTGTTACTGCTATTCGTCTCCAAAGGCAATATCCCGCGAAGTATCGCCAAAAAAGTGACGTGTATAGTTATAAGCATGCTGTCAGCAGTGCTGCGTAGACACTGTATGAAAAATGAGGCATTTCGAATCCCCATATGGAATAATGGCCGCCACTAGCGAGGTGTTAAGAGGAGATAGAGGCAGGTGTGTGCAGTGAATTCCTGGTTGGATTTTGCATGTGACATTTTCAAATTGCGTATAACCTGTTTATAAACCGACTCCACTTCTCTACAGAAACGAAAAATTGCTCAGAAATTATCGGCTTACATTCGGTAAGATACGGTATTTGCACAGGAACATTACGATTGTGGAGACGATGGTGTTCGAGAAGTTGGCGCGGGGGTGAAGACCTGGTCGATGCGACATGGGCCTGAACGAAAATCTGCCTGTTTCTCGCGAAACGAATTCGCTCGAGAAGCTAAAGGTCTACGAAGCAGGATGGAAACAAGACCCTTAACAACAGAAATAAGCGGAACTACTCGGTAACTGGCGCATTCGTGACAGGATCCTTTTCCAAAAATCAGGACAAGGATTGATTTGCTTCAAGAGTTGTGGACCTTCTTGTTAATCCAAACCTTCGTGAAGAACAAGAAATCACTTGCGACAATGTTCCATCCACTAGTGTATAGAACCTGAAGAAATCCGTAAGGATCTGAAGATTGGTGGGGTTTCAGTCCGGATTTCCATACGGTTCTTTGAACCGGTAGGCGGATCTGTGTAGACAGGTCAAACGTCACATCATGCCAATGAAAGTGTCACGGAAGGTTAAGTTGATCAATTAGACTGAAGAGCGGTGTTCTGTCCAGCGATCCAAGCGTTTGTGTGAGCTAGTGATCGGTGCTTCGTCAAACTCGCAGATAGTCATACTGATGGTATGGGATTTGAGTCCGGTAACTTAATTGAGATAAAGTAATCTGCGGTTATCCCCAATAGATGCAGCGGCTTCCATGTTCGTGGCACGTTTTGACTACTAGGATTCACGGTCACAGCAAAAGCTTGTCTCCAAATGTTGAGAAACGGAGTGGCAATTTCCTGTGCTCCACATCGGCGAGTACAGCCAGTCGACGTACAAGGAGGTCGGAGGATAATGCTGAGATGTAACTTTTAGCTGTACATTGAACAACGCTGTAGCTGCAGAAATTTAAAGAAAAACAAGTGTGACTGCTGCTGGTCAATTGAGGTTTTCCTAAACTTTGTGTCAGGTCTACAGCCCATCGCGCATGACGTCCAACTAAACCCTGTGAAGCATAACGAGACAGTTCGATAAAAGTATTATCCGAATATGAGGTGTATCAAGCTATACGGGAAATTCCTGAGGTTATAAATAAGATGGTGATTAAATATATTTACGGACTAAAGAATACAAGGGTTGCGGTCTCACTGTACAGTCATGCAAGCAATAGCACATCGGTTAGTGATAAAAATGAAACATCGGGTGAAAAATTCACAGAACGCGCTTCAGTACTCGCTGGATTTGTAGAGTGTGCATCAGCAAATTAACCGTTACTATAAACGCGCTAGTTGCAGCTACGGACACTGACACAAAACCGTCATACAATCATGGTCTACATAGGTAATCGAGGCTCGCTCAGAAGCCAATAACATGCGGGAAAGAGGTGGTGACATATATTGCGAATTTTAGAGAAAAAAGAAAAAAGATAGCGGTTAGGACAAAGGCTTACTTTGCTCGTATTAAACGGTATTCCAATTCGTCCAAGCTATCTGTATGTAGGAGTCGGACCGAGCCCAAAATGTGGTACCGCTTCCGGTTCAATCGTTTACACTTTACGAAAAAATGCGAGATAGAATAACAAGTGAGCTACCGAGAAAGATACTACCGAAAACGCCTCGAAAATACCACTGGGGTGTGCAAGGATTGGACTGAAAACAACTATTATATGCCAGAAGCAAACGCATAGAAGCAAAGCGCCTAGACCCTATCAACAGCAAGTGCCCACAAACAGACGTTTATTTGGCGGTGATAAAGAAGTGTCGATGGGGAAGTTTCCTAGTGGTTTCCACTGCTAAGTAGGGTAATCAAGTCCAACTCTCCCCTCTCTATGACGCATCATCAGACGCCTCATAAACAAAGAGTCCGGCCAAGAAATGATAGCAAACGCGCCTCTAGTGCCTACTGTCGGTTGTGTAATGTAAAGTTCCGAATTAAGCCCAGTAGGCTGCGTGAACTTCAGTTGGGAAGGTAAGATAATAATAATAAATAAAAATAAATCGCCAGATGTAAGCCCTAACGGCGCTTCGCTGCCAGGCGACCACCACCAGTCGCGCGTGGGCTGAGTATACCGCGAGGACGCAAGGAGAGGTACGAATGCTAAAAGCGTAGTAGACGGGATATCGTGCACAAATGTGCCAGTCTCCTCCAAAAAGACCCGTTTTGATCCCATCTAGTGAGTATGGATGAGACCTGGATCCATCGCTTTATTCCTGAAACTAAAAGATAAAGCGTGGTGTGAAAACACACCAAGTCACCACCATCCAAGAAATGCGGTCCTGCACCATCTGTTACCAAGGTCATGGCCTCGATTTTCTTGAATGACGATGGAACCATTTTGTTTGATTATCGGGTCAATGTGTCAATACTGATCAATACCATACAAGCTTAGTTCAACAACTTATGGAAGCCCTTGTACTGAAGTGGTGGGGTAAGTTAGGAGTAAGCATTCTGCTTCTTTAAGACAACGCTCCTAGTCACATAGCTCACGTGTTGCCGTGTAATTTATGAAGCAGGATTCTGGTTGCTTAAATATCCACTCTATTCTCCAGATTGTGCTCTCAATGCTCTCTCAAGGATCACATCGATGGCATAAAATTTGACTGTGATTCTGACGTCATTGGGGCTGTACAGATGGGGCTACGGGAGCAATATTCGAGTTTCGATAGCCAGTGGGTTGTCACTGGAACATCGATGGATTGGATTTACTAAAGTCAAGCAGTCTAATGTGGAAAAGGGATTAAATTGATATTACTATACTAGCCGCTTTTAAAGATAAGTCTACGAAGTTTTTGAAGGACCCCCGTATATCATGTATGCAGCCGTTAATTCGTTACAGACATCTGGTATTACCAGTCGCATTTTTCTAACACGAAGCCTGTGTTGCCTCAGTTACGCACGCACTGAACTACTTAGCAGATAACGATTTCGACAAGTGACTTGGAATTAGTTATTACAGTAGATGGGACGTTGTATGCCTGTGTAAAGGGATCTATTTTACTTTCAGCCGGTACCATGGTGATGTATTTTAACTGAATTTTCGGGCGGCCAATGAGTTCACTTTCCCCTATCAGGCCAACGGCTGCACCCTTGAACCCTAAATCAAGCTAGATCAGTCAAACAAAACAAAACCCTCATAGCTTACTGGTGGACAGGAACACACAACGCGTGCACGCAACTTGTTTAGCCTTATTTGGTGGTCTATCGAGCTGACTAGGCAAGCACCGCCTAACATTCGTTAGTACATTCCGCCGTTGTTCACACGCTAGCACCAACCGACGCAAGCAATGTGCCGTAGGCGACGAAAGCCCAAAAGAACTGAAGGTTCTCAAGCATCAAATCAAAAAAGTTCACGTCTCGTTCCCGTAGGATGCGGTGCTCACTGTAGTCACGTGGATGCGGCTTGCAAGTCAAAGAGAAATCCCCAGTTGGCCGACATGTGCCTGGATGGAGCACTTGCGCATTCGTATCCCTGCAGTGGGAACAAAGCCGGAGGTAGCAGTGCCACATGGTAACTTGCTAAGTAAGTGGTAGTAGGCGGCTTTGGAAGAATCATTACTGTAGTCAGTTAGAGCACAGGTTGGCAACCACGATGGGTTCTTTGAATAAAAAGAAGAACCTCACAGACTCCGTAACGTCGCCATTAACCCATTTTCTGTTGCCGTTTTTTTAGAGACATTTCTTTAAAGGGTGATTTAAGGCAGTGAATTAATGTAATATTTATAATTTTGCGACTGGACTTCCAGGAATTGGACTAGTCCTCATTATTTTTGAAGTCATTTTCGCATAATCCGTCTTAATTAATTTAATGCTTAAATCCCAGCTTAGGACGTGTCCCCAAAAGAAGGACGCCAGTAGAAAATGGCTTAATAGAAGCAGACCAACAATACATGTTGAATCAAGTTGCGGGCAACAAGTGCTGTGATTTTCGCCGATTCGTCTGCGTTGGATAGATTACCTATTCCTTGCCGTAGAAAAGGTGTAGGTGATTTGTCTTTGTCGTAGGTAAAACATTACAAATAAATAAATCTGCATATTTACCGACAGGCGGTACACGAACCCTTAGTAGTGAGAGCGATCAATGGCACCACACAGATATGGAAGATCAAACATATTCAATCACACTTAGAGTCCACAGCGAGCAATGTGGTAAGCTCTACAACACCTACGACAACACTGGTGCTGTGGCAAAGTAGCACGTTCGACTAAGGTAGTGCAACTTTATCGACATTTACCGATGTGTGTAGTTACCCATTTGCTGGTGTGAGCGTATCAGGGATGATAGCGATAGCCGGCGAGTCGAAGAGATCAATGGATGTTCGATGATCGTGAGAAATGGTTTCACATCGGCTCGTTTTATTCCGAATGTGTGGCGTGCATGCCACAGTATGCGGCGATATGCGTCATTTAGCTCAATAGCGGTTACGTAACAACTGCATTTAACACAAAGATGGCCACACAAACTGCCTACTCTAAGTTTGGTAGCCAGTTCCCAGTAGACCGGGTATGCCCATGTAGGCCTGGAAAAACCACTTATTAGGCGCGCTACATCGCAAATTGCAATTATTGTGAGTATTGCGCTATCCTAATAACATAAGCAGCATGCCGGCACACCGCACCAAGGCTTCGCTGCCACGCGACCACGACGGGTCGCGCGTGGGCTGAGTATACGGCGAGGACGCTCGCCCCTACGCGGATTCGAACCGGTGAACTAATGATTGCAAACCAGGCGTGCAATCCTTCCGGCCACCGTTGGACAGTTAACAAATTATTCTTCCACATCACTTACGTTTTTTCATGCACGTTCGTATCATTCGCAGACATTTTGATTTCTGGAGGTCAGCCGCGATTGTCCTCTGCAATGGTAGGAACCTGCATGGCATTGTAGAGTATGTTATGACGGCTGCCGCCGTCCCACTTGGCTCAGCAGCATAAACTGCTGTCTAGTTGGCCGTTATGGGTTCGATCTCCTGCAGGGGACCGAGGGAATGCGGACCAGTGACGGTCCACAATAGGGCGAAACGATCGCCTGGTGATTTTCCGGATTGGGAGTTAGACTCTCTGTATTGTGAGCAGCTGAGAAGAATGAGTAAAATTTAACATTCGCCAAATACCGCATATTTCGCGGTGGTTTCGCTCTCATCGCAGCTGGCGCCATAGAGTGTTGTTAATGATTAGTTCGTTTTATATTTTGGATTATTTCTTCACCATTAGCATTACGCTGTATTTTTTAGACACCAAAAACGAACTACTGGTAAAAAGTATAAGAATTAAGTGTCGATTTTTGCATATTCTCACCAAATGGTTATTGAATTCACTTTTGTCACGCTCTCCCAATTTTAGCTAGTTCTACTGTCAAAGCCAGTTCTAGTCAACCGTGATGTTATGATAATGTTATTTCCTTCCGTGAGCCCCATACGAACAGAAAGCAGAACAAGTTGAAATCGACCGACGGAGTCGGATTGTGCATCGGTGAGAGATTGAAGTAGCGACTTTAGTCAAAAAGTCTCATTTCCGTTTTTTTTAGTCAGAATGCGCTAGTTTACTTCGGTGGGACAACGGTTGACGGAGGCATGCAACTAAAACCTTCGCATAAATATGAGGAAAGACACAAAATTTTCCCCAGTGCATTCAACCGTCTTTTACCCCCGGAAAACACCATGTGTGAGACTGTAACGCATAGAACAGTGTACATGCAGACCAACTCTACATGTTGAAGAAACTCCTCTTCAATCACATCTCGGATGATATCATTTGTGAACAAAATTGCGTACTTATTGATCTTCCCCTATGCGGGAACAGTCAATCGCACTGTTGAGAGTTAAAAGATTTATTTATTTATTTATCTCAACCACAAAGTTGAAAAGGATAAATAAGGTGGCCCTAATGAGCCCTTCAGTTAAAGCAATAATTCCAAAAGACGGTTTCCCGTAACATGCATACAAATACCGAACTCAAGATCCAAGGTGGAAATCAGACAGGGAGCCAGTAGATGTTAAGTCAACTCAAGTCAATATTATTTTACTGAGTCTTTGGGTAGCATATGGCGAATGTCGTGAGTCACACACATTGTGAGGTGAGACTAGCTAATGGGCGATTTATCGGTCGGAGGTATAAACTCTGAACGCGAGGCAGGCAACAAAACTTGGTTCTGAACAACAACAGAACACCAGTCGATGAGGTTCAGTGAGCCGGTAGTTCAGAAACGAAAGCGCGACGCATTAAAGCAAGCGAGATTGCGCGACCATGATGTGCAACAACGTGTGCCGTATACAGATGCACTAACAATGCGTATGGGATGACTATCTGTGAAACTCAAAGTTGTCTATATACGATGAATTTCAGATAGAAAGTATGGTTGAAAAAATGGAGTGATAAACTAGAAGAAAGGAGTTGTGGATGCATACCGCTTGGCGAGCCGCATTGAGCTGTAGTTCAGCATCTAGCTTCTTCGTTCGATACTGTTGCATCTCCAATTCATAAGTGAACTGAAGCCAAATCATGAGTTCAGGTCTGGGGGATAGCTTGACTTCTGACGGTTGCCTTAGCACAGCACAAGCATCAGGTTCGGTCACGTTCCAAGCCGAATCACCCCGAACTAACGAGACTCGTGATTTAGCAGAGTCACGCTCCCAATCGGATGATTCTTCGATAATGCGGCCGTTGTTAGGCGAGAATTGTTCGACCGAAAAAGAGACCCACGGGTCAGGACCAGTCGACTGAGGTATCTGTGAACCATTGGTGAAGAGTGGTGTATGATAAGAGAAATTTGGGGAGTAAAACTCGATCACCGTAGAACAGAATGCGATCACAGGAGTGTGAACGCATGTAAAAAAGAAAAGCGATACCGCATAGTAGACTGCGCTTCTGATGAACATTCAAATAAAAAACTGGGAAGGGTGAAAGTGGAACATGTTAGAATGGCGACATGGTTGTTTATCTGACTAGGCCATAATTCTATCTTAAGCACAAACGATAACAACCTTAATTACAATAGACAAACTAGTATGCCCACTAAACAGACGTAGTAGTAAACAGAACGCAGGCGTCCAGGTTAGAAGAACAGTGTCCAAATCGGGTATGCAGAAGCGTGTCACAACACAGCATATTAGGCTAGGGGATGCGCAAGATAAAACTGATGGCTAGATAAATATAAGGATAACACACCTGTCCAGAATTTAAGGCCGCTGGTGCCGTTGAACCAAGGTCGGCCTTTTCTTCGCACCTATTTAGCGAGTAGCGAAGTCTTTCCAGGTCTTCCAGGCTGTGGATAGGATAGGACAGTGTCAGCGAAGTGGGGGAAATGCATAGGCCCATGAGTCAGAAGATGGTGACAAGTAACATTAGTCCATACATTTTCAAGGTTAAGATGCGTACATAATCGTTCAACCACTAGTGTGGAAGAGTAAAGTGCATAAAAAACAGGTCAAAATCAGCGTCTACTACGCAGTGATGGGATCCGCCAGATGGAGCTTCACAAGAAACCCTCGGCTGCTCCTGCTGCGGCCTGCGAGTAACCTTCACAAACGTTTGCAGTGTTATGAGCAAGCTTGATGAGCGTTGTTGTTTCGTTGCGTGTGAGCGGCCAGACGTAGTAGGACTCGCAGAGACATGGCTGCATGCAGAGTTATACAGCCAAGAACTTGAACTCAACGGTTACTCGTGCTTTCGATGTGATAGACTAAAGAATGCCCACGGTGGTGTCTTACTTTACATCCGGTCTTCCCAACGTGGGAGACTTGTGAGCACCTACCGAAGTGACGAGGGTTTGTGTGAGCTACTGTGGTGCTCCATCCGCCTCAGGCACGGAGAACTGCTTGTGGGCGCAGTTTATCGCAGCCCTCCCCTGAGTCGTTGTTTGGATTGGCTGCCCATTCTTCGAACCCACATGAGTCGTCCACATTTTCTACTTATGGGCAATTTTAACTGTCCTCGAATACGATGGCCTGATGTGCATTTGATGCCTGGACATAGTGAGGTTGAAGCAAAGTTCGTGGATTTGGTACTTGAAACTGGTGCACCGCAACACATATGCCAGCCAACACGCATAACAACACGTTCAACCCCTTCCTGTCTCGACCTGATGTTAACGAGCTACGAACAACGAGTGCGTGACTTTCGGATCCTGGAGCCCCTGGCTACGAGCGACCACTCAGTACTGATAGCTGATACGGAATTATCTTTGCCGTATTCACATCCGCTGCAACCAGCTCCCAACTACTGGAAAACGGACTTCGATGGTCTAGCTCGAGCCGCGAGCCAACTGGATTGGTCTCTGTCACAAGCTGCATCTGTAGAAGATTGTTGGATATATATAAGAGAGATTGACATCATTGTGTTCCCAATTTGTGCCATTGAAATGTCGAAAGGTTGGACCAATTAAGCCCCATTGGTTTGACAAGGAGTATGGAAATCTGGCTCGGAGACGGCGCAGAGTGTGGGACGAATTCCTCCTCTCTGGCTCTGCCAATGATTACGAAGGGTATAAATGTCAGCGGAACCTCTGCAACAGTGCAAAAAAGGATAAACGCCGACATTTCGAAGAGCAGCTCGCATTAGCCGCGAAGACCGCCCCAAAGAGAATCTTTGCATACGTGAAACGACGCCTGAAGCCGGCAGGTGATGTGCCAGTGCTGGATGGCACGGATGGACAGCCCCTAACCTCCAGCACTGAGCGTGCGTCCGCGTTGGCGGCGCACTTCGCTTCTGTATTTGCGAATGACCACGAGTCTGTTCCGAATTTACCGTGTACCGCTTTTACCGAACTCGATAGTATGCATTGCGGCGTTGAAGAGGTAGCTCAACTATTCTCCAACCTTGACGGCACCAAACCTGCCGGACCTGACGGGCTTCATCCACTGGTTCTCAAGCCACTTTCAACCATCCTCTCTCCTGTCGTGACTGACCTTTTCAACAGGTCGCTGTCCGAAGGTTTGTTGCCGGTTGACTGGAAATGTTCGGTGGTGAAGCCTATTCCGCAAGGCGGCGACCATAGCAAAGTAGACAATTAGAGGCCAATGTCTCTGACACCTATTTTGGCAAAGGTTGTTGAGAAAATCGTGAAGAAGGGATTGCTGCAGTTGCTACAGTCAAACGAGGTCCTGACGCCCGCACAGCACGGTTTTATGCAAGGTCGCTCATGCATTACGAACCTGCTTGTGACGAGGCATGAGTGGTTGAAGGCAATAAGCAAAGGGAAGTCCGTCGATGTGATATTCATCGATTTCAGTAAAGCGTTCGACAAGGTCAGCCATGAGGTTCTCCTTCACAAACTCAGCATGTGTGGTGTCGGTGGCTCACTGCATCGGTGGATCCGCGACTTTCTTGTTGGACGAAAGTGGAGGGTACAGGTCGACGACCACCTAACTGACTGGTACCGCCCTACAAGTGGCGTGCCTCAAAGAATTGTGCTGGGGCCCACTCTGTTCCTGATCCACATCAACGACCTACCTCAGCTTCTCCGGTCGCCGTGTGCCTTGTTTGCGGACGACATGAAGATTTGGAGAGAAATTGACGCTCCCGATGACTGGTCTACTTCAGCAAGACCTCAACCGCCTATCCACATGGTCTGCAGAAGTTCATCTCCCGGTCAACCCAGCCAACTCTGTATTTATGAGCCTGGGAAGGGTGCTAACGGCCGAACTTACACCCTTGACGGCCAACCACTATATCCCACACCCTCCGTGAAGGACCTAGGTGTACTCTCACGCTACGATTTGAAGTCCGTGGACAACACGAACAGGCTATATCGTAACGGACTGCGCATGCTTTGGGCGCTCAAACGTAACTTCGGCACATGGTCTGAAGAGGTTGCCACTCGCCTCTTCTCTTCCATCATTAGACCAATGCTAGAGTACAGTTCGCCCGCCTACTTTCCGATTACCCGAGGTGAGGCACAAAAGATCGAACGGGTCCAACACGTTGCTACCAGGCTCATCCCGAGTTTACGTGGCTTGGGGTATGAAGACCGGTGCGAGAAACTAGGACTCTACACCTTGTCCTACAGTCGGATGCGAGTCGACTTCATTAGGACCTACCGTATTCTACATATCGGTGACTTCCCAATGCTAAGGCCAATGCTGCACTTACGAGGGCCATGCAGCACACGCGGACACAGATACAAACTTGTCGTGCCGGATGTGGAATGTGTTCCCCACCCACTGTGCTTCGAACGGAGAGTGTTAAATAGTTGTAACAGTTTACCTGAACATGTGATGGAGGCAACATCTGTGCAGCAGTTCAAAACGTTGTTAGAATTATGTTTTACCACTATTCGAATCAGAAAACGATTACACACTTACGATGACATATCACATTTGTGAGTCCTGAAATATCGTGAGTCAGATATTTTAAATATTACATGAGAACGACAACAATATTCACGGTTGACAACTTTTATAACGTTTTTCACCATATTTCGAAAGAGTTGTACATAATTCATTTCTACTTGCTCTAGAATACAGTATTCCGTATTCGGATACCTCCCTGGAGTGTCTGTTAAACTCTAACCGTTTACCTTGGCTGCCATGTCCTCCGCGTGCCGGTTGACCGCATTCCTCGGTGTGAATTATCTGTTACCGCTGCACCTAGTTGTTGGAAACCGTGTGGCCAGCTGATGACATGGGATAAAGACGCGAACAAATTGACCGAGAGTTCGTCAGGCTGATGTGTACCATCTTCATGTTGAGATCATCAGAGTGAGCCAAATCAGTGGTTAGAGAATTCGTCGGGCATGGTGCAGTCGCGCAGGCAGTGACATTTCTGCATTCGGGGTACTTGCACGTAATTTTTTATTTGCATTCCATCCCGAATAGTTTAGGGCACATTTTTCTTAGTGTTTCCCTATATTCTGTTTTTTTTAGCCCATGTTCACTGTATCACTACTGCAGGGGAGTAACATATTCTGTGAAATTTACGCAGTACTAAAACATTCCGTAACTTCACCGCGAAGACTAAAATAAACAGAAATCAAGGCATTCTCATCCACTATATACATGTCAGTTATGAATAAAAACAGAGGAAATAAAACGAAGTCCAACAAGATGCTTCGCGCAGTCACCCGAAAGGTGGTGGCGCATGTCAGGCACATTTTTGTTGGCACTAAAGTTGTGTTAAGCGCCCACAGAATTCACAGGAATGCATAGAGAACAGCCAGCAATGTATGCCAATTGTGGAGTTCTTTCATGCATCCCGAATCAGAAGGCCACTGTGTTTTCACATTTTTCTCCATGCAGGTCTTCCACCACAATTTCATAGATAAGCCAACTGGCTGCCAGAGCATGGGAGCTAAACAGGTATGGAACATCGCCATAGTTGTATGGAGCAGTGGGCAAGTCGATGAGCTGATTGGGGTTGAACACTCTAATAGCATTCAAAAAGGCCAGCTAGCTTATGATGTCAGCAACTCCTGGGCTTTTATGGCAGGTTGGGAGAAGCACAGTTGCATGTCAGTTGGGATTTTGCTGGACGTATCAAAGATCTGTGCCTCTGTCTGTAGATCCTACAGCCAGTTTTCCTCGGTGGCAGTTTTTAGCGACATGGAAATATTTTGGAAATTCCTTCACTATATCCACAACGGTTTTTTCGCATAAATGCTGTTTCATTTTCTGAGACGATATCTGCAAAAGTTAAAAAATGTTCTATTGATCACAACAAAAGCGAGGCTGGCTTTCAGAACAACTCCTTCGTAGTGCCAGCTGTGTGGTTCTGGATTATCCCGTTCCAGAGAATGGTACGGAGGCAGTGTCCCAGGACGAAAAAACTTCAAAAAAACAAACAGTGGAAAATGGACAAAAAATTTGCTTTGTTTTCTTTCTTCTTTTACTCTAAGCCTGTTTTTCTATTCCGCCATGGTCCCGATGGCACAATATCTGTACACCGATTGATATATATATATATATATATATATATAGCAAAAGCTAATGTGAAGTGGAATTATAAATTTCTCATTTTTTCTGCGATTCCGCGAAACATTTCATTTCCCTTGATTTTTCTGCTTTTTCGCGTAAAACCAGTGCTATTAATTGTGATTTGTTGTTATCCTGTTGGTGCGAGTCATGTTACCTCGAGCAAATGAACTTCAGTGCCCGCCGGGTCATAGTTGTCTAACTGAATGGAACTGAACTGTGAGCTAGCATTTGTCCACAGAGGGTGCGCGCAGATCGTTCACGGTTGAATGAATTGAGTTCGAAGGGGGCAGCAAACGGAAGTTTGAATAAAGTCGTGAAAAAGCAAACACTAACTAGGAATGATGGGTAACAATGACAAGTCTGTACAAAGAAAAGACTATCGACGATCAATCACGTGTGGAGAGGAAAATAGGAGTCACAAGTTGAGTTGCAGTATCTGAACACGATTATTTGCATAAAACGAAAATAGAATAATTTTCCACACAGAACAGAAGCAAGCAGTGAGGAATAATAACGGCGAATGACGAACAGAACAGGACTCATCAGAGCACGTTTTTCATCAGTAAGCCTATGGATCAAGATTACGTCAAGGAGAAACGGAAGTATTCCGCTAACAGTTGATAGCTTGATGTTTGCATTGGTGTATTTCATTTTGTTGAATCAATTGGTCTCAGTACATTGCGTGCATTTCAGATGGCAGATAAGTGATGGACGGATTAAACTAATTGAACAAAAGCTGTGCCACTCACCGAATTTGCAGCTGCTTTAATATCCGTTCGGTGGTGGAAGAACAATCAGGGAAGTCGATTTTCTTATCAACCGATACCACATTGTGATAACACCAATGCGATATACCGAAGAGGAGCAATATCAAAATGCCACATGAGGCCGTGACCAAAGAAGCGTTCTTGGATATCAGCGGTAACCCTGCATAGTAAGAAAGAATAGGGAGTGGATGAGGTTAGTAAACAAACAGCTCAAACACTAGCCAATAACAAACCATTCCAAGGGAGTGGTAGAATAAATCATCTTGTGGTTAGTTAGCAGCACCGTTCGGTTGAATGGCAATGGTTTCAGAAAAAAAGCCAGAAGCAACAATGACGTGTGAATATGTGAAACAACCAGTCACATGATAGACGGGAGACCAAGACAATTAGCTCAGTACTCAATAAATGCAAGTAACATCTGCAGCGAAACAAGAACTATACAAGCTGGACACAATCGAAGTAGCCAGGTCTAAACGAGTGCCGAGAGATGGTGAACACTGTGTTTTCATCTCAATCCCTCCATCTAACAGTCAGAGATAGTAACTACAAATTTCTAAGATGAGTATTCGACCGCTAATCTGTGAGAACATCGGGATCGATTAGCTCTACGCATAGGACGCACAAATGGAGGCGAAATGCATCTATCAATCAGTAATAGGACAGATAGTGTAATATGACTAGACCCGACCGAGAAGTCATGAGTTCAGAGATCTTTGGATACAGTTGGCTGGCGTGTTTGTCGGGCAACATTTCGCCTTTGTCACAAAAGCTGATTCACCTGGCCTGGCCTGGTGAAGCTATGGTGTCAAAAACGAAGGGTTGCTAAACAAAATACCATGTGATTGTCTCCAAATCTCTCTGAACTAAGGGCAGGCAACGCTTGTAGAAAAGTGGCGATTGAAAGTGCTCAATTTGTCGAGAAACATAGGAAGTGGAAAGCAAGCAACGGGAGACAGAATGAAGCGATAATTTACTTTGCGGAGGCCCGAAGAGGACGGTGTCCAAGGCTTTCAACATCAGTCTCTTCTTGTCAATTGGATTGTTGATCATAAGTACATCGGTCAAGTAGCTCATATTCTGCATGGCTAACCTGGAATGAAAGCAGCAAATACCGAGAACAGGATGTAAAACTCGGAGAAAAAGTTAAATGAGGATTAATGAATGCGCTGAACCAACATCCATTTCCATGTGAACTGATGCGTAAAGTCAACACAAGCAGGAGCACCACTTTGTGCAATCAAGTACTTGACTGTGGTGGCAATAAGAGGCGGTGTGCGAACGAATGATTTCACCGTAAGAATCGCAAGCGCATCCCAAATAAACAGAGTATTGATGGAGCTATGTCAAAATAGGGTGCGCACCGTCTTTCAAATGTCCTAAAGTAGATGAGTAGCATATGCCATTGCTAATGTGGATGCTCATCAAGAAGCCACAGAAGTTCATAGCTTGTTTCCTGACTCCAGCGACAGTGAAATTAGAATTCTCATATTTAGACAGAAGATCCCCCACCACTCAGAGACGCTCAAGAGAAATCGAGTAAGCACTTCGGTGAGGAAATTGTCGGCGCACATTTGGTACGAAAGTACCTCAAAGAGTGCACGGAAACAAGTCAGGACAGAACGTGAAGTGAGATGAGCTCACCATCATCATCATAAACAACAACAACAACAACAACACATCAGCCATTCGAACTGATGCTCCCCTGCCACACAACCATGATGATCTGGAGAACAAAAAAATATTACGGAGATATGAGGGAACGTAGCATAAAACCTCAGTGTCCCAAGCAAACATTCCGGATCAAGGCGCCTACACCTTGTGTTAACAACATACCGCCACAAACAACTGACTATCGTGCAAAGATAAGGCGGCATCGGCGAGACAGCTTCCTTGCGGCTTTCACTGCCCCGCGTCATAATCAGCCAGTACCCCGCAGATAACAGCACCAAACACACTTTAAACAGCCAGTCCGACTAGGAGACGGCAGCAGACGCGCCACTGGTGCCGACTGCGAAGTATGTACTGTAACGTCTCGAGCCAAACGCAAGGCGAGTCACGTGGACTCCAACCAGGAAGGCGAGACGGAACAACCGCACCCAATTTGGTCGTCAATGACTTCATTTCCTGCTGCCAAGTCAACTTCTGTCCACCTCGAGCTCTGTGTCACCCTACACCTGGTAGACTAAACAAGGCCCTCCTAGGTAAGCGGTGACTAGACATAAGTAGTACGTGCCCAGGCAAAGAAACATATACAGTGCTACCTGTTGTTCCAAGGAACTAGCCTGGATATAAGTTGCTAGTACTCGTTCACGTACACAAACGTTGCGGACACGCTGGTGTCACTCGACACCAGCAATCCACCGCAGATAACGACGATCAAAGACTTGAGGGCGTCTCAGATCTTCAGACGGTAGAGGTCAAGTCTCACTACTATAGAGCAGAACGGCCCTCACTGTGGCTTTGTATCCAGGGCCATTCAGACGGAGAGAAATCTTTCTGTCGCCAAAGATGCCACAGGTTCAAGAAGGTAGCTCTGGCCTTCGGAATGCGTGAACTGACATCAGTTTCTATGCGCCCATCGTTGCTGATGCAGCTGCCAAGCCAAGAGAGTCGATGGACCACCTCGAGTTCTTCGTTAGCAAGGGCCAAGCCGTCATCAAATGGATGGTAGTCCTTCAGCAACACTTTGCACTTTGAAGGTGCGAAGTGCATACCGAATAATGGGACCACTCTAGACAGGCTATTCAGGGTTGATTGTGTCGCCCCAACATTGTCGAAAACCAAGACGATATTGCTAGCATAATCAAAATCAACTAACCTTCCACCAGGCAGCACTTCAATGCCTACATCGTGAGATTCCGAAAGCGAACACTCCATGATAGAATCCACGACGAAATTGAACAGGAATGGGGAAATCGGACAACCCTGACGAACGCCACTTGTGGTCGGAAAGCTATCCGAAAGGACACTGTGGACCCTGACGCAGCCTGTAGTGTTCGAATATAGAGCACGAAGGATGTTCACATATTTCATGGGAACACCTTTACGCGCGAATATTTCGAACAGAATCGATCGATCGACTGAATTGAACGCACCCTTGCAATCCAGGAACGCAGCTATTGTCGGTCTGCGGTATGCATGGCGCTGCTCTAGCATCTGCTGTAAAGTGAATATATGATCTATACAGCCACGTCCTGGGCGGAAACCTGCCTACCCTACCCTAATCCGGGATTCCCGTTCCACAATGAGGCGACGAAGGAGAATCGAGGCCAATAATTTTGTTACAACTGGCGTTAGGCTTATAACCCTGTGATTAGCACAGTTTGTGCGACTGCCTTTCTTGTACATTGCCACTATAATCGATTCACTCCAGGTAGCCGAGACACTCTCTTTCTTCTAGATATGTTCGAATAGGGTAGGTGCTTTGCAGAGAACCTCACTTCCATCCTTAAATAGTGCATGTGTGAGGGAATCCGGGCCAGCGGCACGAAAACGATTAAGAGCTGTGATCGTGTATCGGACGTCGGCCTCCGACGGAGACTCTAAACTAACCGTCTTTGGCACATCTTGCATCACCTGAGTAGGAAGAGGTCCAGGAGCATTAGGCAATTGAACTGATCTTGTAAGTGCCCCGCTTAACGAGTCATACGGCGCTCCTTATTGTGTATCAGTGCACCCGCGCTGTTTCTGATTGTCTCACTGACGCCTGGTTTTCTGGGACCAGTGGTGCGGATCAGTTGGAAGAGCTTGCGGAAATCGCCTACTTCTCCTGCCTCCTACATTTCTTGTGCTCGAATGCTCCACCAGGCTTCTTTGGTAGCATGCAGGCTCCGCTTTAGTTCACGCTTAATGATCTGTCTGCTGAGCCAGCCGAGAGGTCTCTTCTACATTCCAATAAATTCACCGACCTCTCGGAAATCCAGTGACTGGTACGGTGACCATTGATAGTGCCACAAGCAAATGTTGTTGCGTTGTGCATGGCGACCGAGATCCTATTCCACTGAAGCTTAGTGTCAATAGAATCAGAGAGTAAAAGTTCGGCACGCAGGGCATCCTGGTAGGCTTGCCTGACCGAAGGTTGAGACAATTGCTCGGTTTCCAATCGGAGGAGACGCTTGGTGCGCCTCCCGCTAAATTTCATGGAGAAACGACAACGTACCAAAGCATCACCAGAGTCGACGCAGTATTCCAGAACGAACGGCAATTCAGGATGGAACAACGCCACCTGTGATTTATGACAATGTGGTCAACTTTGGTCCATCGCTGGCCAGCTACAGGAGGACGCCAAGTGGCACTTCGGCGCAAACTGTGGCTAAAAGCAGTGCTACTGAGAAATAACTGGTGCGCCGCACACAGTTGTAGAAGACGCTCACCGTTGTCAGTCCGTTAGGAGTTAAGCCCATAATTACCCCCTTGCTGAGTTTCAGAAGAGCTCAGCCACCCAACTTGTGCGTTCATATCCCCTGAAAGCAGTATGATATCTGAATTGGTAGCACTGCGTAGTATCACGTTCAGTTCTTGGTAGAATGTGTCCTTGGCAGCATCAGAACAGAGTCGGCGGGGGCATAAACGGAAATCACAAACAAACAGCGTATTCTATTACTTCGTGAACCAATTTTAGTTTATGCTGTCAAACGGCTGTTCACGGGAATCCAATCAACCAACGGTGGCTCAGCCTTGGAGCTTAGAATGATACCTACCCTAGCTCGACCCGTGAGTGCTGCATCGGCGTCTCCGGATGCGTGCAACCAATAACGAGAGGGTAAGCCGGGTGCAGTTAATTCAACAATCCCATTAGGGTTATTGATCCTGGTTTCGGACAAACAACACACATCAATACCCAGAGTGTCCAAGATGCGTGCGAGTGCAGCCTGTGGACCTATTTGTCTTAGAGTGCGAACGTTGAACGCCGCCATGGCAAGGGGATAGCGTGGCCTTATAAGGGACTGTTGTCGATAGACGTCCGATGTGTGTTGTGAGGTGGCTGCAGATGGCTCTATTCCAGTGGCACTTCGGTTGTTGTCCATTAAGCTGAGAGTCTTAGAAGGTAGGTTAGTAATGGAGGTCGGGACGGGAGTAAGAGAAACAGGTGGAAAAGAAAGAATGGAGGCGCCTGTAGCAGCATATTTTCTCTTATCCGCCCTGCTGCATGCAGCAGATAAGGTGGCCCTTGATAACCCTCGCGACGGCCGATGCAGGATGTAATTAGAGTTTGGGGAAATTGTCGTAATTGTACTTGGGCTGAGATGCTGTCAGAGCGTCCAGACCTAGAGAGGAGGACGATTAGGGTTCTCATCCAAAGCCTTTGACTCAAAAACCGTCTGCAGCGGGGAGGTGGCAATGACTTAGTTTTACAGAAATAGACGCTATCTTAGTTTAACCCCCCCCCCAACTTGGAAAGACCAGAAGACTGAGTTTGTCTGACCTTTAACCATTAACCAGTCTGGTAAGAGTAGCTCTAAAGGGGCCGGCAGACACCAGCCAGTATAGCTCAATGGGTCTAGGAGGTACGCAAACTGTCGCACCACATTAAGGTCTAGTCACGTTACGACAGGTGGGATGAGCTCGGTGACTGTGCATGGTGACAAAAAAGTGAGAAATCCGATCAGTGAAAATACCCGTTGATGAAATGCAATTCTGGAGATAAGATGTGTAAATACTGCAAAACCTTGCAAACGTTATGAATTGTGATATGATGGTATGAGGCTAAAATTGCGAGAGGGTAGAGGGGCGCCGGGTTTGAATATGTCACCCGCGTTCAACGGTGTCAGAACATAAGAAAGGAGTGAAACAACGAAAGGGGTAAGTAGAAGAGTGGTTAACTCACAAAGGAAGTGACTTTCCATCAACTGAATGACGGACGAAAGTGTCCTCGTATCGCGGTAAATTCACACTCTCAGTGAGCCATTTGACAGTGTCCTTAACGTTCCACGTGAAGGCTGTAACAGCAAAGTTAAACAAAGGAAATATATGGGGCCGGAAAGTGACAAAAACCAAAGTGAAAGCCATATATCTAAGTTAGAAAAAGTTAGTTGAACTACCTGGATTTGTTTGCCACATTGACCATAAATCCGACAGACTGACTAGTGGATCATCAGTTGTAAGGGACCGACGGTTGCGAGAACAGCCCGCTGAGCAGAACTCATCACGGACGAACTAAATTGAATGAGAACAAAGATCAACCGTTAGTTAGTAGGTGTTGGTGCGAGAGAAATGGGTGACTGAGTGATCTCTCATTCTCCAGATGAGCGCGACGAAAGGGGTAGTGGGATAGAGGATCATATAATAAAGATATGAAACGCAAACAAAAATACAAATCAGTTGGGTTACGTGCGAGAGGGGGCTCACTACAATGGAAAAGAGAAAGACGATGAGGGACGGAAACATGCTATCTCTACTAGCACAATGCCAGTAAGGAGAGGAATGCGCAACCGACGGTACGTCACCTGAGCTAGCAGAACAGTCGGTCAATTGAGGAATAATGGCAGACGCGTCGGTAAGCGGAAGCCGATTCGGAATGAAAAAAAGCGGGTGGAAGAAATAGGTGCCACAACGCCCTTTTATCTCGTGTGCTGGCGCATATCAAGTTGAGAAAAGTAACACGGGAGCGAACAACTGATCCAGCATAAGCAGTAGGTATACACTGAATCGCAAGTAAATAAACAGATAAATAAATTGTAACCTCGATGCGATTAGGCAGTTATTCCCGGTAGTGGATACGTAAGGCAGTCCAGTGAGTGCGACGGCAATCAGCGGCAGGCATAGGCAAGTTGGTGGTTCGCTGAGTGGCTAGCCCACATGGTCTAATGAGATTTCAAGAGTTCATACATCGCAGTGTGGGCTCACCCATGCGATATGGGAGCCCATACAATGGGCTTGCGTACGGACATGTTAGCAGACGCACGATATTCACAGACACGAATAGATTGCTTGAACAGAAACTAGAATAGTTCATATATCGAGACTCGAAGTCGATAACGGTCCCGTGTACCAAAGCTGATCAATATGAGAGCAGGCATGTGACTCATCATGCCGGTGCAACAATATCTTAAGCGCAAAATGATCTAGTGACCACACACATTCGAGAAAAGAAGCGTTGCCCATACGCAGAGCCTGTAAGATCACCCGGCGAAAATGCAGAACATTACAATAATGGCAAATGAAGTGGAAGAAAATCCATCATCGAGATGAGAAACCCCGCAGCTATTGTGCCAGAACGCCATTAGAAGCAGAAAATGATAAAATAAAAAATATTATCATGCTTTGTTAAATGTTATGCACTGACGCCATTTACATCATTAACAACAACAACACATCAGCCATTCGAACTGATGCTCCCCTGCCACACAACCATGATGATCTGGAGAACAAAAAAATATTACGGATATATGAGGGAACGTAGCATAAAACCTCAGTGTCCCAAGCAAACATTCCGGATCAAGGCGCCTACACCTTGTGTTAACAACATACCGCCACAAACAACTGACTATCGTGCAAAGATAAGGCGGCATCGGCGAGACAACTTCCTTGTGGCTTTCACTGCCCCGCGTCATAATCAGCCATTACCCCGCAGATAACAGCACCAAACACACTTTAAACAGACAGTCCGATTAGGAGACGGCAGCAGACGCGCCACTGGTGCCGACTGCGAAGCATGTACTGTAACGTCTCGAGCCAAACACAAGGCGAGTTCCGTGGACTCCAGTCCGGAAGGCGAGACGGACCAACGGCAGCCACTTTGGTCGTCAGTTACTTCATTTCTTGCTGCCAAGTCAAACTTCGCTCACATCGAGCCTTGCGCAACCTTACACCGGGCAGTGTAAACAAGGCCCTCGTAGGTAAGCGGTGACCAGACATAAGTAGTACGTGTCCAGGCCAACGAAACTTATTCAGTGCTATCTGTTGTTCTAAGGAACTAGCCTGGATATCAGTTGCCAGTACTCCCTTACGCACATCAACGTTGCGGACAGGCTAGTGCCATCGGACACCAGCAATCCACCGCAGATAACGGTGATCAAAAACTTGAAGGCGCCGCAAGTACTCAGATCGAAAGGACCAAATCTCACCCTCATACAGCAGGACGGCCCTCCCTGTGACCTTGTAAACGCAGTCTTTCAGACCGAGGGAAACTCCCTTCTGACGCCAAAGATGTCGCAGGGTCAAGAAGGCAGAGCTAGCTTTTGCAATACGTGAACTAACTGCAATGCTTATGCGCCCACTGCTGCCGATGCAGCTACCTAGGTAACTGAAATGATTAACTATCTCGAATTCCTCGACATCAAGGGTCAAGGAGTCGGTAAGTGGCTAGCGGCCCTGTAACAACACTTTGCATTTTGAAAGTGCGAAGCATATGCCAAATGATGGGACCATTCTAGAGAGTTTATTCAGGGTTGACTGGGCCGCACCAACGTCGTTAAATAACTAGACAATATCGTCCGCATAATCAAGATCAACTAGCTTTACACCAAGCAACACCTCAACATCTGTATCGTGAGATTCCGCAAGGAGTGATGGAGTGCACGATGGAACTGAACATAAATGGGAATTAGACAGCTCTGACGAACGCCACTTGTTGTCGGGAAGACATCCCATAAGTTACCGTAGACACTGACGCGGCCTGTCGTGTTCGAGTAGAGGGCGAGTAAAATGCTCACATAGTTCATGGGAACACCTTTCCGCACAAGTATTTCGAACGCATTCCTGAAGTCGAGCAACCCGGCTACTGTCGGTCTATGGTACATGTGGCACTACTCTGGCACCTGACGCAGAGTGAATATATGATCTATGTGACAGGAGTGTGAACGAATGGATCAAACGAGTGAGCTAGACAACCAATTGTGGACGGACGTAACGGATTCGATTACTTGACATGCATTCGCCGATATTCGTGTGAGTTACTCACCGTTCGTTTAATTGAGTCAAAAAGGAACGTTATCGGTAGGATGGACAAGCAAAAGTTATCATTGACTTTAAGTTCTTTACTACTTCTTACTCTGTTCTCAGCATGAAGATCCACTAATGAAAAGTAAAACAGTGCTTACATAGATAGGTCAGATAAATAAGCCTTACATTTGGTCGTCCTCGAGTCTGTCATCCACCATACCCAGCTAGATGAAAGCCATCGCTGCGAAAAGGGACTTTAACGTGGTACGATGGCTTGTGTACCACCTGACCCATTGAGCTACGCTAGGTGGCACTTTCTAGGTGCTTTCAGAACCCCTCATACCAGAGGTCAGGCAAACTCAGTATCACAATCCAATCCTCTTCGATGGTTGGAGAAAGATCGATGTCCCACTTCCTTCAAAACTTAGCCATGTGAGAAAACAGGTGACAGGTTATAAGCTCACAAATCTATTTGCGTACAGCATAAGAGCCATCCATGATTTATGAACGTGGAAGAGCACCATCCGGTGTGCAATGGTTTGCCACCGTCTGCCACAAGCTAGGCAGTACTTAATCAAATTGGTGAAAACATGCTAATTCCCATCCGCGACTGACCCTGGTAGCAGGTGTGTAACACGGTTGGCGGCATCCGGTTTCGGATTTGCCTGTCACTATGGCCAGCCACAGGACGCCTGCGCCTACAGAGTGACCATAGGTGGTTTGCGCTGCACCACCCACAGCTCCATCCACACACCCCATATCCAGTGTAAACCCGAAGGAATAAGACCGGGATGCAGGTGAATGGGAGCCACCTTTCATCAACGGAGCCGGCCCACAGTCGTTCACAGCAAACACAAGCCCCCTGCATTTCGGGAATCAAGCGCACACAAGCCGGTGGTTAGACCGTAGTCCGCTCCACACTGTGTGCATGGAACCACTCTTTGATCCTAACACGGCCACAAGGACCGTGCACCCCGTTCCCTCCAGCAACCACCAACTGTCGCCTAAAGCCAATATGGACGATGTAGTGGGTAATAGAGAGGTAGGCCCTTGTCAACATGCACATCAAGCGCAGCCACACCGGAGATATCAAGCAACAGCCAATCACTTGAGAGAAAGCTAACAAAGAAAAGAAATCGAGTAACGCATAAGGAAAAGTGACAGAAATCTTAAATTCATGAGTTGTTAACAAAGGATCCGAGATAAGTTCACAAGGTAGGAAAGTATATTTTAAGGAAATGACACAAACGCGAAAATGTTATCGAAATTAACTACAATTGGCTTAAGCGAGTTGTGAAGGTTTATAGAAGAGCGTGCAGGTGGACATTTATTTGAGAAAGAAAAGCATTAGGACAAAATTGAAAACCCACCACCTGAAATAAATAGACTTAGCATGCAAGCACGCGGTTAGTAAATTGAATGCAGCGTACCTACAAACGCTGCGCCGGTTCTGCCTACGTTCTCTGCAGGACCCGTCGTCGCTTCGATAGTGGTCCCGAGTGGCCTCGATCATGGTTCATGCATATATATATATATATATATATATATATATATATATATATATATATATATATATATATATATATATATATATATATATATATATATATATATATATATATGGAACAGCCTACGAATAGGCATGGAGCTATCAAAAATCATGGGACTCAAAGTAAGGTACATTATGTGTATGTACTCTATGCAGTCTAGCAACTAGACACAGGGCCAACAAAAAAACCGCTGATTAGCGGATAAGAAGAAGTTATCGCGTCATAATCCTCATGACATGGTAGTTAAAGGCGAGCAACACATTTCAGCTAATATGCCGCAGGAAGAAAGGAACGTTGTCGATGTTTAAGTAGTAAACATGTGAAGCAAGACAATGCTGTACACGATTCTTCCACTGATTCCGGTTGCGGGCCGTCTTCAAGAGTGTCAAGCCATTGGTACTCCTCATCTTTGGGTGCCCATCCTGGAAGAGATACGAATCCAACAACGGCTAGACACGTCAGCGATTTCATGTGCTGTCGCCATGTGTAAGGCTGACCACCACGCGGTCGCTTCCAGCCAGGTCCTTGACGAGCGACTAGAGCGCGACGCGGTAGACGCTCAGGTGCCCTGCGCAGGACGTGACCGAGCCATCTCAAGTGGTGCAGCAAAACCAGTTTGTTAAAGGAAATACTCGCATTCCCTAAGATGCGACATTATTACTATTAACTCGATGTTACCACCAAACACGAGCAATCCTCCTTAAGCAACCGTTATTGAAGGCA